GCTCCTTTGGACCCAGCTTAACCAACGGTACACTTTGCGGTTGAAGATCGACTCTTTTACCTTTGCAGACGATAGTTCGGCCTCGGTGTAGAGTTGTCTTTCAACGCTTTTCAGCGTCTCCGTAAGGATAGTAGGGAACCGTTCGGAGTCGTGAGATCATCCCAGAACAGACTTCTTCATAGTTCCTCTGAACTTCTCTCGTTCAGCTTAGTTGCCGTGGTTCTCCAGCATTATGAACTCTGCATTCTCTCTCCGCACTCTCTCGCACACTCTCGCACCCACTGGAACTAGGAAGTGTTGAACCTTTTAAAGAGGTCACTTCCGGTTCCTCTGAGAGCTTCCTGATTGGTCGATTGACCGAACAGGAGGTGGTTTTAATGATGTAAGAGGTTATTAAAAGTCAAGGAAAAAGATTAAGTTTGTTTAAGAACAGACAGAAGATGTTTTGAAGAACCCGAGACTTCGTGGAGTCAATTCTCTCATATCTGTCTGAAAAAGTTAAACATGATATTTCTTTCCAGTAAACTTGTAGTTGACCGAAACTTGACCTTTGACCAACTTACACTTGCTCATTTCAGACAGAAGATCACGAAAATGAATAATTTGTTTGTAACACATTTTAACTTGATTTCTACTTTGAATGAGGATTAAAAATCACTAATACTGTTTCACAGTTGATTTAAAATGAGTAGTTCACTTCAACATTTAAAAATGGTTTGAACTAAACACACTTTTGATTATCACGACATTTGTAAAATAGTAATGATAATAAAAAAGAGAGTGTTCTTTCAATTGATCAGTGCAGGACACTTAGAAAGTCTCTGGATGAACTTAATTTTGTGTTTCTGGACTCAAATCAATGAAATAACAGTTCTTGTCCCAGGAAGGCCCTCAAGGTCAGGATTTGACCTGACGCTTAGTTCAGTACATATCTAAGGCCTCACCAAACTTCTCCCACATTCAAGCTTTTGCCTCAGCAACAGCTGTGTCCCGCTGCTTGACCCTCCGGTACTCTCAGAAAGCCACCATCCAACAAGGCCTTATCAGAGTCAGATATACTTTATTGTCATTCGCATCTCATGTGGTACATGTGGTGGAGTGAATTTATGTACACAGGGTCCCAGTTACATCCAACAATAAAATGTAAAAGAAAAACAATGACATCATCTAAGATATGAACTAAGAAAAACATCAACTAAAAATATACTAAGCACTAATAGCATAAAAACATTACGTTGAACAGCAGCATGAACATGAGCATGAGTCTGTGTGAGCAGATGAACACACATGAACAAAGCAACATTGAAACAGATCAGCAGCAACAGTGAAACAGATCAGCAGCAACATGATGTGATTTTTTTCAACAATGATATTCTGTTTAGAGATTCATGAGTCAACAGCCTCAGGGTAGAAGTTGTTCCTCAGTCTAGTGGTTCTACACTTATTACACTTATTGCTCCTCAACCTCCTTCCTGAGGGGAGCGGGGCAAAAAAGTGTGTGTGCTGGATGAGTGGGGTCCTTCATGATGCAGGTGGCCCTCTTCC